TGGAGATCATCTAGTCCATCCCTTCTTGCTCAAAGCCAGGTCAAATAGAGCAGGTTGATCAAGGTCCGGTCACATTTTGAGTATCTCCAAGGATAGAGACTATAGTCTCTCTGGGTCCTCTCTGGGCAACCTGTTCCCGTGATTGATCATTAAAAATCTTTTCTTTATGTTTAAACGGAATTTCCTGTATTTAAAATTGTGCCCATTGCCTCCTTTCTTCTCACTGGGTATCTCAGAGAAGAGTCTGGGTCCATCTTCTTTATTCCTCTCCACCCCCCTCCTCTCCCCATCGGGTATTTATACATATTGATAAGATTTCCTCCTGAGCCTTGTCTTCTTGAGGCTAAACAATTCCAGCTCTCTCCTCATATGACAGGTGCTCCAAGTTCTTACTCATCTTTGTGGCCTTTCGCTAGACACTCTCTGGTATGTCCATGTCTTCTCTTGTACTGGGGAGTCCATAACTGGACACAGCACTCCAGATGTGGTCACACCAGTGCTGAGTAGAGGGGAAGGATCACCTCCCTAAGCCTGCTGGCAACTCTTTTCTTACTCCAGCCCAGGATGCTGTTGGCATCCTTTGCCACAAGAGCGCATTGGAGGTTCATGATCAACTTCATGTCTACTAGGACCCGCAAGTCCTTTTCTGCCAAGCTGCTTTCTAGCTGGCTGGTCCCCAGCCTGTACGGGTGCATGTGGTTATCCAGGTGCTGCTCCCGTTGAATTTTGTGAGATTCTTCTCAGCCCATTTTTCCAGCCTGTTGAGGTCCCTCTGAATGACAGCCCACTCTCCTGGTGTATAAACTGCACTTTCCAATTTTGTATGATGGGCAAACTTGCTGAGGGTGCACTCTGCCCCGTCATCCATGTCATTAATGAAGATGTTGAACAGTACTGGCCCCAGTCTTGATCCCTGGGGTACTCCACTAGCAAGGGGCTGGCCTCCTGCTGGACTTTGTGCTGCTGATCACAACCCGGTGAGCAGCCAGTTTTCAGTCCAGTCATGGACCACTTATCTGCTCCATACTTCGTCAGTCTTTTTATAAGGACGTTACGAAGACATGCATGCGTATCTACAATAGGACAGATGTTTTCTTTTCTTCCTGAATGTATATGTATCTAAGAGAGGTGGCTGGAGATTGTGGTCTGGACATGACTGTCTACTTACTCCATGCCCTTTGCTAAGAATAGCCAATGTGAAAACTAAAGAAGAAATCAAACTTTAGTTACAGAGAAAACTGTAGAAATAGCTTTGTCTTCCCCTTGTAGAGAGGCAGATGGTTTAAAGTTAACTGGGAAGATACTGTGTATTTGGTCATGGTAGTTTCTTCTCTGCTGTGTTTGTTCCTGATGGTATTTTACTGCCAGTTCTTCCAACTGAATTAAAACATTTTAGAGTCATAGAATCATTAAGGTTGGAAAAGCCCTCTAAGATCATCGAGTCCAACCATCAACCCAACACCACCATGCCCACTAAACCATGTCCCCAGGTGCCACATCTACACATCTTTTAAATACTTCCAGGGATGGGGACTCTACCACTTCCCTGGGCAGCCTGTTCCAATGCTTGACCACTCTTTCAGTGAAGAAATTTTTCCTATGTCCACTCTAAACCTCCCTTGGCGCAACTTGAGGCCATTTCCTCTCGTCCTATCGCTTGTTACTTGGGAGAAGAGACCGCCCCCCACCTCGCTACAACCTCCTTTCAGGTAGTTGTAGAGCGCGATGAGGCCTCCCCTCAGCCTCCTCTTCTCCAGGCTAACCAGCCCCAGTTCCCTCAGCCGCTCCTCATAAGACTTGTGCTCCAGGCCTTTCACCAGCTTCGTTGCCCTTCTCTGGACCCGCTCCAGCACCTCAATGTCCTTCTTGTAGTGAGGGGCCCAAAACTGAACACAGTATTCAAGGTGCGGCCTCACCAGTGCCGAGGACAGGGGCACGATCACTTCCCTCAGATTTTAAAAGTTTTACGGGAACTAGGGCTTCCTAGCAGGCAATCTTTATTTAATCTTTAAAAAAAAAAATTATGGAGTAGACTTAAAAAAATCAGTACAATGAGTATAACGCCTATTGCAGTATTCCTTCTTGACAGTTGATTAAATATGTGACAACTGGAAATGTTAATATGTTACTATATACCGAAATGCAAGATAACTTAAAAAAACCCCAACCGCCAAAACACAAAAACCAAAACACTAAACAGAAATTTCTTAATTTGGTACCTAACTAATTTTGGTTTGTTGTAGGATGGAATTCATAAAGACAAGTTTGAAGATGGCTTATCTAATCGCTCTGACTCTGTCCTGAGTATTAGCACAATTGCCTCTGCTATTGCTAATGCTTCCTCCAGTGCTGATCCTTCCCAGCTAGCTGCTATGATGATGGCACTTTCTAATAAAAGTAAAAGAACATGTTTCCTTCCTGGAGTTGTTAAAGAGACAGAACGCTCTGCTAATCAGGTCTTATCCAGCAATGTGGAAAATAGTGCATTTGATATGGAAAAATACCTCAAAAAAACAGATGAGATTGGACATGAAAGTGAATATGAGGGTATTGTGAAACATGAAGCATCTGTACAGAACCTTATGCCTGATACCTTTTTACTGAGTAAAGATAAAAATAAGGATACTCTTGCAGAAGACTTGATTAATAATCATAGCAAGCAACAAGAAATAGAGAAGCAATTTCTGGATTATTTTAATGAAGGAAATGATATTCAGAATTTCTCAAGTCTGTCTAGTGTTCCCAACCCTGAAGATGTAACTGCAAATAGTGTTAAATATTCAGAAAAGTTGTCAGATTTAGTAAATACTAAACATTTACAGTCAGTGAATGCTGATCTTAGATCAGATATGCTTGATACTCAAACCTCACCCACTGGAAATGAAGCACAGACATGTGGAATTCCTTTAGCAGCAAAAATGGAAGCGGCACAGAGAAGTCCGCTTGCTTATCAGACCAACGATCTCAGTAGTAGATGTTGTATCAGGGAAGACACAGAAACAGTAGATAAAGCAACAGATGCTGTTCCTGAACCATGTAATGATTTGGTGGAAAGTAGTACGGGAGACACTCTGTCACTGAGCAACTTAAAACCTGCCAAGCAATCCAGTAAATGTGTCTTGGTAAGTCCTACAAAAGCAAAGCCTACGCAGAAGTTGAACAATGACGAAAAGAAGCAAAATGCAAAAATAGAGAAGAGAAACAAAGATGCCAGTACTGCTTGCGGTGGGAACGTGAAACATGTAACTTTTGAGAAGCTCTCCCCAACTTCCCAGAATAGTGCTGGTAAGTAAACCTATGTAAGTGTAACAAGTTGTTGATAAGGCTTTTCTTGACAGTAGACTTGTTCCCTGTACTTAAATAAATACTGTTATTAAATTCTGTTTATTTACCAGAGCATAAACCCATTCAACCTGAATGTGACTTGCAGCCTCTAGAGGATGAGCAGTATAGCTTCAGACCTTCAACTTCACCACTAATCCACTCTTCTCCTAGTGAGACTTCTGGAACAGCATTTTCAGGGTAAATTTTTTGGTGCAGGTTATAAGAATTATTAATGCTTCATGAGGATTTTTGATGGATCCAGTTTTAGTTTGAATGTTAACCTTGATCTCAGTTTGTAGGAGATCTTTATTAGGCTAAGACTTCATTGTTAGCCTAAGCTTTCTGTTTGCTTTTATTATGTGTATGGGGAAGCAGTCTTAAGCAATTGTTAACTTTTTATTTTCCTCACTGGCCTGATGAGACAGAGATGCCTGATATGAACATTGCTGTTTCTGCTCAGGATTATCCAGTAATGCAAGAATACAAAATATTCAGCCTGTTAGCTAGTCATATACCTCAGATACGTAAAACTTTGTGTTGATAGAGCTGTAAAATCCCATATTTATTAATTGTTGTTCTAGTGTAATTCATCTATTACAGATAAAACTATTTGGTTGGGGTTTATGATGTTAATTATATGATAACAAAGCTTGACATTGTATAGACCAATGAAGATGTGTTTTTTAAACTTACAAGCATTGCACTCAGTTTGGTTCTCTGATTCATACCGCTGCTTGTTGTGAGAGAGGATGGATAGAAATATTTGTATTGCTTTTGACCACTTCATATTTTGAAACTGCAACTTGTGTCAAAGATTTAAGGCTTTCTTAGCAACTGAAAGGGCAATGTTTTTTAAATAAGCTCCCATAACAATAAGTGTTACATAAACTGTAAGATTACAACTAAGTTGGTTGTGTAGTCTTAAATGTATAAACATTGCCAGTAGCCAATGGCTATATACATTCTCATAAAAAGATGAGGCAACTGATTTCTTTGCCTTAACTTTTAAATTCACTGTTTGATATTTAACTACAGTTAGTGTGTTGTACATGATATTAGAATTACAGGCTGTCTGGCATTTCTCAGAAGTTAAAATGTGCAAAGTGTGTGTATTTTTGCAAGCATGTTATATAGACATTAGGATTTCCAGTTAAAGTTGTCAGTGACTTTAATTGTTTTCACGTTATCTCTTCTTGTTCGACAAAGTGGTGAGAGATCCCATGTTTTCAGGTATGTGTAATGAAGAGAATCTCAGCAGTGAATAGGAAATACTAATGTGTGATGCCTGGGTTTTTGAATGATTTCATTTGACATTCTTCCATCTAGTTAGATATAAGTATATTGATTCACCTTTTTTCTTTTGATAAGTTGTTGTGTTGTTTCTGTGACCTTAGTGTCTGAGTTCAGTTGTGGAACTCTGATGCTTTGCCTTACGGATTTATATCTAATGAAAATGAGTTTTATGTACATCAAAGCCAGAACTTCTAAAGGTTAATTGAGAGCTGATTTCTCATTTCTACTGACTGTACTAAACAGAATGGCTAAGCAAGTTGATTTTTAGAATAGTATAGCTAATGTGTAGCATTGATTTTCTTGGGGGCAGCATTAGAAATATATTCTAATACTGACATACTTCGAATCTGTTTTTCAGGTCTGAAACTGACTTTACCTGCACATCACGTTATGAGGAATCTTCTTGCAAAGAAAGCGTACTACCTCAGTCAGTTTACTCAAGTCCTAGCATGAGCAGATTAACATACGTCTCTGCATCTGACAGTACCCTTAGGAACACAGCTGTAATACACAATCCGGAGACATACTGGGTAAGAAAATCTTGAACTGTAGATATGTATTAATTCCCTTTCTTTAAAACAAACAAACAAACAAAACAATACCTCTCCCTCACCCCCAAACCAAACCCTTAAATGGTCAAAATAATTCTAAATTAGAAAAGCCTTAAAGGTTTCGGAACAGTTTAGGACATGCTGTGCGTAGGGAAAAGGTATTCTGCTTCTCCCCCACTCCTGAGTTTCAGAAGTTTAAATTCTGAAATAGATTGTGTTAAATGCACAAACCCTAATGAATATAAACATAGTAAAACATTGAAAGAACTACTAACTTTAGAAAAGAGTTAGAGTTGGTGTATTTTTCCCCTTTGATTTCCCTCCCCCCCCCAATTGCTTATTAAGTCATTTTGTTCTTGGAATGCAGTGCAGTATTGTAGTAGTAGTTTGTAGGTTCTGTATCTGCTTTCATCACCCCTGAGGCTCCTTTTCTGCTCAGCTTCAGCTGTTAGGAGAACATTTTTCCTTTTTTTCTGGACAAATGTTTATAAATACTTATTTTAGCTTTAACTTGTTTTTTCAGGATTGAAGCTATCATTTTCTACCTCTGACAGTCATTCTGACTGTTCTTATTGCTTTAGCAAAGAGTGTGCTCTGAGAGTGAAACTTTTGTTCAGACTTGCAATCTTATGCTGATTAAGATAATTGGCATTTGTTTATCTAAATCCATGGGTTCCTTGGAATCTGGAATCTTTCTGTTATGCCTTCCCCCTTCCAAAGTGTGTGGGAATGTGGATGGAACTTTAAAAAACAAACAAAAGCTCAAAAACCTCTCTGACTGCATCCATATCTGTGTAAATCTGAGTGGTTACATTTATTTTCTAATACCGTTATCAGTTGTGGATTCCTCTAACACAGGAAATAGAAATGCTGTCTACTATGCATTTTTTCATTTGCAGAAGGTGAGGCTTTTCAGGACTGGTGGCTAGTGAAAGCTTAGTGAAGCCTTCTGTACCTCTTGTAGGAACACCAGCAGCAATGTTACTTCATGCTGAAAGCATCAGGAAGAAGCAAGCATGTGTTCTGGCATATAGCCCATTTTGTTCTAGGTCTAGTTGCTCAAGTTACACAGGGGTTATCTGCTCTTTTCCATCTTGCTGTTTCCAGTGGGAATTGCAGTCCTGTAGGAAGGAATGCAAGGGCAAATTTAAATGGGTATTTGCTTGGAGTCAATGCTGGCATAGCATCAGCTCTTGGGTCTACTTCACGTTTGAAATGCATATGGTTCTAGATTCCTGTCATCTCATGCAAACGGTGGCTCCTGATGCTTTGATGTAACAGGCTGCTTACTAGTTTGCCCTTCTGTCTTGAAGAGATGTTACTGTTTGAGTAGTCTTTGTTCCCCAGGGTAGTTTAGCAAGGAGATCCTCAAGTACTTTGACAAAGTTTTACATTTGTATTATGAGTACATTTATAAGTCCCATTTATAAGGCTGCAGTGTTAATTTAGTCCTCTGGGTTAGTAGTCTTTTACACTGAGAGAGAGAGAGAGACCTCTGGGAGAAAGAGAGCTTCATCTCACTTGTACTTTTTAAGAACCATTTTCATGTCCCTTGCCTGAAGCTTCTTACAGACAAGAAGAATGTTTGTACTGGTATTATCTTCAGATCTGAATACTTCCTATAGCACAATCTGTTTAATCAGTGGTGCTCTCTCCCTTTAACACTAGGGTTTGGGTTGTCAAAGGTGCATGATTTTTTAAAAATTTTTTTTTATGTCTTGTTTGGTTGATTTGGCCCGGTGAGCCATCTCACCTCAGGCAGCTGCCCTGAATGCCCTTTTTAAAGGATTGTAACTTGCAGCTTACTTTTCTACAACAATCGGAACAGCTACTTTATTGTTCTTTCCCCTTCTTTCACGTGCCTTTCTCTGCCTACCAAGTCCTATTTACTTAAGCTGAACAATTGCTTTATAGTGTAGATACTCTTCATCCTTTTGTGTAGCGCTCTTGTTCCTGTGTTAAGAGTTCTCTAGGTACACCTGTCCTGAGCTGATGTCTGAGTGCTTTGATACCACACTGGTTTGTGTAGAAATTTGAAATTTCTAAAAATTACTTTGAAACTCCATTTTTGAAAATGGAGCCTGTGATCAGGATGTACTTCACAAGAAAAAATTAACCTTTGTAGCACATCTAGAGAACACTTTCATTTTTCAGATTGGTAGGGGAAATACCTGGAGTTCATCCACTGTATTGTGAAGACTGCCAAGTGTGATGCCAGTTGTGGGAGGGTGGTTCTCCCATGGTCAGTCCTCCTCCACTGATTAATGCCAATGCTATTGTTACTAGCTATGAACAGTGCATGAGAGGGTGTAATCACTTATGCTCTTGACAGTTAACCCAATAAGAGATTCCTTGAAACACATTTGTGTGTATGCATATTTATGGTTCGTACTTCTTTGTCTCTTGGTTTGATTTCTAAGTACAAAAATCCCAAGACTGAGAATAAGGTGCACTCAGTCCACCTACACCATGCATACCTGCCAAAATGGAAGGTCTTCGGGCTTGAATGGTTTCTTTGTGTGAGTGGACAAAATGCATTGATTGCATTTTCATGCATCTTAATCTAATCCTTTTTGATTAATGATTTGGTTCAGGGCCACTCATCTTTGTAATTTTTTTCTTAAAAAGCTGGCAAGTATGTCTTTAGTGGTGTGTTGTGTGGTTTTTTTGTTCTCAAAAAATCTATCTGCTATGATGTTAATGTAACTTACTGCTTTTAGGTCCTTAGCTTTTACTAAGAACTCTAAGTACATGTTTGATACCTAACCACTTCAGCTTTTTGTTAATGGCTTCTTAATACCTGGGGATTCTTATTTCTTGTTAGAAGAAACTTAGACCCTAGTAAGCACCTTTGCTTTCAAGAAAGTCATAAAGAATATAGAGAGAAATAACCTAACCCACACTTGGATGCTGCTATTTAGGATCGATTCTATCAGAAATAGGATCAATTAGGATTGATTGTAGCAGAAATAGTGTGGCCAGCAGGACTAGGGAAATGATCGTGCCCTGTACTCGGCACTGGTGAGACCGCACTTCAAATACTGTGTTCAGTTTTGGGCCCCTCACTACAAGAAAGACATTGAGGTGCTGGAGCGGGTCCAGAGAAGGGCAACGAAGCTGGTGAAGGGTCTAGAGCACAAATACTATGAGGAGCGGCTGAGGGAACTGGGACTGTTTAGCCTGGAGAAAAGTTGGCTGAGGGGAGACCTTATCGTGCTCTACAACTACCTGAAAGGAGGTTGTAGTGATGTGGGTGTTGGTCTTTTCTCCCAAGAGGGTAGGACGAGAGGAAATGGCCTCAAGTTGTGCCAGGAGAGGTTTAGATTGGACATTAGGAAAAATTTCTTCACTGAAAGGGTTGCCGAGCCTTGGAACAGGCTGCCCAGGGAAGTGGTAGAGTCACCATCCCTGGAAGTATTTAAAAGGCATGTAGATGTGGCACTTGGGGACATGGTTTAGTGGTGGACTTGGCAGTGTTACGCTGATGATTGGACTCGATGATCTTTTCCAACCTAAATGATTCTATGATTCATGCATTTTTAAACATGAAAATCTTCATGGTATTGGATCCAAACACAATAAATAAAAAAATTCACTGTGGGTCTCTGTTTTTCAGAATAATAATGTCTGTGAACCTGTCAGTGAGTTTAGGAATCTGCTCCATTAGGTTTTTTCATAGTACAATTACTTTCCCACAGAATGACTTTATAAAATCACAGAAGGTCAAACATTTTTGGCCCTGTGGAAGCTCTCTTAGTCCGTGGTAACTTCGGAGAGCAGAGCATTCTTCTGGTGTTAATGCCTAGAATGGTGGGTTGACCCCAGCTGGTGACTGATCCCCCCGCAATTGCTTGCTCACCCTCACAGCGGGATGGGAGAAAGGATTGGAAGGGAAAAGGGTGGGGTGGGGGACTGGTGGGTTGAGAGAAAGACAGTTTAATAAGTGAAGGTGGGGGAGATGGGGGGAAAAGTGATGCAAAAGCAATCACTTGCTACCAGCAGAGCAATGCCCAGCCAGTCTCCAAGCAACAGCTACTTTGGAAAAATTCCCCCACAGTTTTATTGCTGAGCATGATATTACATGGTATGGATTCTCTCTTTGGTCAGTTGGGGTCAGTTGTCCTGTCCTCCTTACCTCTTGCCCACCCCGAGCCTACTCTCTGGGGTGGCAGAGTGAGAAATGGAGAAGGCCTTGACACTGTGCAAGCACTGCTCAGATAGCTAAAACACTGGTGTGTTATCAACACTTTTTTGATCACAAATCTAAAAATATAGCACCATAGGGGCTACTGTGAAGGAAATTAACTCCATCCCAGCCAGACCCAGGACACCTAGCTAGAATGTGACTTTAGACAGCAAACAGGTTGAAGTCACAGGTCTTCTTTTTCAAGGTGAGGAGCTACAGATGTTACAAAAGCAAAACTTCAGACAAGACTTGACAAACTTGATTATTTATATTGGATGGCAATACCAGTATTGAGGTCTGTCTTGTTTTATGTACCCTATTTGCTTTTCTAAAATTTGTAATACTGCATATTACATTTGTTTACTAGAGTGAAAATGCCAGTGAACTGAGCACAACCATAATTCGAGCCAGCCCAACTCCTTTGCAGGAACATACAAATGAAAATCTAGAAGACCGATCATGTCAAGGAAATAGAAAAGCAGCACTGCTTAGTATTGACCAGAAATCAGAAGAAAATGATCTTGCAGGTCTTAAAAGAAAGCTTGATGTTGTACTGGGTCAAGAACTGTCCAAAGGTTTTCCGAAGCATGAAAAACAGCATGCATCTATTCCTTCAAATGTAGCAGCTAATCATAAAGAGCTAGATCATGTTAAATCAGCTTTACCAAGTAAATTCTGCATCTTTCAGCCACTTTCTGTTAATGTTGATGCACAAGAAGTGTGGCAGGATCAAACAAGCAAAGCACAGAGACAAGGATTACCATCCTTGAATGTATTACCCGTATATCCTGGATTAAGCACTTATATGCCATTCAGTGAAAACTCATCTGGTGAACAATATGTTCCTATTTCAAGCTTTAAATCCCATGTCACTAACTCCGAGAGTCAAGCAATTCCTTCGTCTGTTCCCACACTGCTTACAGGACGTTCTCTTGCAACGACTCCATTTGCACAACAGCATCTGGGAAATATACCATCTACTGGAAATACAGTTTTGTCTCAGTTTCATGGTTGCAGCTCTGCAGGTTTTGGTCTTCCAACAGGGCTTTCTTGTTCCAGTATCCCAGCAGGACGTGTTGAGAATCCACTTATGGTAGGAATTCCTGTAGGTCCAAATATTGGTCCTGGCTCTTTGGGTGCAGCTTCACTTGGTAATCCACACCCTACTTCCTGGAACAAGAATATCTTAAATATAAAATCATGTACTGGACAACCTCTTGGAGCTGGTAGAAACGAGTGGGAGTTGCCAAAGTCACTTGGTATTGGTAAGTGTGTTTTTAGAGTGTGTTTAAAATACAGCTATGGACCAGAATGGTGATAATGATGATGCTAATATTATAGTAAATAAAATTAAGATGACTACTAAGTGTAACCACAATTATTCTTTATGCAAGCTTTGTTATTTTAAAAAAAAAGGTATTACTAATTTTCCTTATTCAATGATGTTCTGTGAATTCAGTATCTATTCTTATAGTCCCCCTAATGGTTTTAGAAGAAATTTTTCATAATCTAGAAGAATTTCAGTATTCAGTGGTTTTGTGTTTGTTTAAAGGATCTAAAACTGTCTTTCATAGGAGGAAGAGAAATCCTAGCTGCAGTTCATGCTAGGCAAGACAAGTCATGCTCTGGAAATTCAGTTGTGTTTTCTCTGGAAAGTAGATGACATTTCTGTCTCCAGCCTAACTTGGTATTAGCAGTCAGTTAAGCCAAAAAAATCCGAGGAGGAGAGTGGAGGGCTTAAGCTGTTTTCTGGTTATGAAGGGGAAAGACAAGCTGCCAAGTGCCTTCTGTACTTTCTACTATTTCTCTGTATCTTGACGTAGCTCTAAACCCAAGCAATGCAGATTAGTGTTTCATTTTAAAGACTTCTTTTAACTTGTGATCTCTTTAGTTGTTTTTTGCCATACTTTTTTCTGGCTAATTCTTTCAGAAGAAATCACAAGCTAGTGGGGATGAAAGTTTAAATTTGTGACAGTTTATAGGTTATTTTCTGTTTATTGATTGTTCTAAATCATTGATCTTGTTTGTTCAAATTTTACTATTTTAAAATGCACTATCTTATTCATTGCCTGTTTTTAATATACATAATTTCTAGGTTTTTGTACATGTTTTTGAACTCCAAATATCTATGTAGTCTAACCTTGGTTTTTAGCAAACTTGAGTTTTTTAACTTAATTTCTGGTGATGCTAGTCTTAGTTTGTATTTTCACCTTCATACTTGTGCTAGATTTTCTTTTTTGCAGGAGAATAAGAGTGTATGGCTTTAAAGTAAAGCTTGTTGCTCATGTAACTAAAACTACTGCAGGTGATTATGTGTGTCTCTAACTGAGAAGTCAAATTTTTCCTTTGACATGAGTACCCATTAGTGGGTTTCTGGATGTAATGAAGATCGATCCTCGGTGTACCAGAGAACTCTTACCTCCATTTGAGTTTTGAGTTGTCATAATAATGTTGAAATTTATCTGAAAGAGTTATTTTGAATGTTTTAGAAGTAAGGACTTCCTGGAAGTAAAATATTTGAAGCAGGATTTCTTTTTGATTTGGTGATAATTTTTGATGACTGCGCTTCTACAGCAAAACACTACTCTAGGAGTACTCAGTATTTTCTGTAGCAAGGCCTGAATGCCTTTTTAGTTAAAGTTATACTCTGGTAAAAAAAGATTTTCCTTTTGATTGGTATAAATGTTCTAAAGATGTTGTAATACTGATATTCACATTTTCTGAGTTGGGCTAGTACTGGTTAAATTGTGAACACAGAGTATTTTATATAAGGTGTATATATATACTTTGTGGGTTAGTGTCTGCATGGGATGTGCTATTTCCGCAAGTATTTTTGTTCGTGACAGTAGACCTCCAAGTACAATGCAAATTAGAAACGATTGAAATTCTGAGTATCAGGCTTGTGGAAAACTTTCTTAAGAAAACTGTAGGAGTCAAACGTTTCCTTACCGTAACGAAGCACTCGTCAAATGAGTTTATAAAGTTGACTTGGTGGCAGTCTGAATGCTGATTTGTTTCTGGGTACTTGGAACTAACAGGAGCATATTTTCTTCCAAAGGACATGTAAAAGTACCAGAAGAATTGAAGTTCCCTAATGCCTGTTGTGTGGGAATTGCATCACAGACGGTTCTTAGCATTTTTAATCCAACTGAACGGTGGTTGCAGGTCAGCATTGGAATACTCAGTGTTTCAGTTAATGGGGAAAAGGTAAGAGATTTTTTTAATAAAGCTATAGGAATAATGCTGTAATCTTACCCGATGTCATATGTAAAATTAGAGCCCTCTGTACAGATTTGTAATTTTTCCCCATTTTATTGTTAATATGCACAAAAGCAGTGCTACCCTCTTTCAGGCAGGCCACCTGACTTATTCCAACAAGTAGGCATAGAGAGGTAAATGCCACATGACTGGATTGACTTCTAAAATTGTTTTGCGTGCAAAGTGTGGTGGGTTTGAATTTACTGCTTATTCATTCCCACCTTTGTATGCAAGAAAAGTCAGCCCTAGAAAAGAAAGCATCCACGCTGAGGACTGTTACTGTTAAAACATTTTGTGCAGTTTGCTCCCATTTTTCTTGAAATCAGGAGAATCTTGTGTGACAGAGAATGAGAAATATTTGGAGCAGGCTTCAAGCTAGATGGGTTGTTCTGTGGGTTATATGTAGCTTGTAGGTCATAGATTGGGCATCTAGCACTTTAATTTTGTTAAATTGTATCTCCTTCTGTCATCATAGTAATAGTTCCAGAGGTAAAAGATCTCAGGAACATGAGAATGAGTTAGATTAAAGGTCCATCAGTATAACTTAATTTCCTTTACTGATGAATACTCTTAGGAGAGAAGAATATAACAACAGAGCAAGCATAGTATACTCTGAGCTTCTGGCAGTTTGGTGCTTGGGAGCTTTTGAGCTAGAGGTTATTTATGTTCTTATTAGTTTTTGGTGGGCTGCTCTTTATCTAGTTAATCTTTTGAAATTGTGTAATATTGTCCACAGTCCAGTTCAGTTATGGATTCTATCACTGCTGCTTTTTTCCTTTTTTTTAATCTGGTTCTTGCTGGTTTTGTTTGATGGTCCTTATTACTGAGAAATAATGGGCAATAATTCACTTTATATGTGGCTGCTTGTAAGTCTTATAAATCCTTATCATATCCTTCCTTAGGTATATTTTTTCATCAGATGCAGCACGTGTCTTTCCAGGAGTATGACTTCTGTTTTCGCTCTCGTTTTCTCTGAATATTTCCTCTTTAAAAACCACCAAACAATTCTGTGTGTGTCTGTATGTACACGTGTATATGAGAGTTAAGATAAGTTACATATTTTTCTGGTCACTCAGTATCATGGGGCTCTTATGCAGCTCTTCAAACCTGAGATTCTGTTGTACCAGGAGGTAATTTTTTTCATGAAATTACTTTACAGTTGACAGTCCCATTTACAGTTGTTTCCATGAATAAATATATACATTTAATTTGTTTGCTGCACAATATAATTAAAAACCATGTTTTCTAGTCAAGCTAACTCTGAGATACACTGAGTATGACTCGCAGTCTGTCACTCCTGCTTGAAGATTATCTATGAGTATGTTCACAACAGAAACTTTAAGGCATCAGCACTAGGATTTACTGGTGACCTCCATCCACTGACCTTTCCATTACTCTTTCACCATACCTCTTCCTCCCATCTTTGATGGCAGAAAGCACCAAGTAGAATTGGCTTTGTTTGTTTATTTTGCTGCTGTTCTTTCTCAAAAATCAGGGTTTTACTTATGAATTAACTTTCGAATATAATAAATATTATAATCCCAGTGTCAATCTTAAACTAGGTGCTGGAAAGAAACTCCAGCAATTTTCAGGCTGACTTATCTAAATCTTTAAATTTTAAAAAAAATGTCTACAGTTGGGTGAGATGGAAGTGCGACATGAATATGAAGATGCAATAATTAATATTGAGCAAAAACATATACAAAATGTCTGTGTTGAGCAGTGGTGCCAGATAAATGTGATATTTTGAAAGAAGATGTCCTCTGGCAAGAGGCCTATTGAAAATGACAGAGATTTTTTTTTTTTTTTTTTCAGATGGATCCTGTGAAGTATCAATGTCTGGTTTTCAAGAACAAAACCATCGTAGGACCCTATTCTACCAATGACCTGAAAATACTTTTCTTACCTTGTCATTCAGGGATCTTTCAGTGTATTCTCAATGTTTCATCTTGGCCGGTTTCTGCAGATGCCGAGACAATCGTTCAGGCAGAAGCTTTGGCAAGTAGGGTAGTTCTGACAGCAGTTGCTGAAAATCCTGATTTAGAAGTAAGTAGCTGCTTATTGTGGTGTTTTTTTTCGCTGGAATTTTATGAATAGTTTAATGACACTGGAAAAGAATAGGAATGCAAGGTTGTTCCTCAAAGGAACCTGGGATTTCTTATGTTTGGAGTGGGGAGCTAATATAGGAGAATGTTTATGAGAAGCTTATATAACTATCTTTATAGTTATATAAACTATATTTTTAGTTGTGGAAAAAGCACCTAGCTGGAAATGAAGAATTATTATGCAACTGTCCTGAAAAGAATAAATTAAAAGGTATTGCTTTTTCATTATTAAAAGAATGGATGAGATCTTAAACATCTTATGCTTTCTAAGTATCTGCTATGTTGCATACCATTGGGCATTAAAATGTAACAAAAAGCATTTTTTTCCAATTGTAAGGATTTCTTTATTTTTTACATCAAGTAGGCTTTGTTTTGTTTCTTATTACTTTCAGCTGATTTATGGTTGTAGAGAATATTTTCTTATTTAGGACTAATTAAAGATTACAATTAAGTGGATGTATAAAATGCTTTGTCTTGTGTCTTATCATGAAGAACAACGAGGTATGAGACAGTGTGACATTAAGAATTAAATCTGGCTTTAAGTAGTCCTAAATTCAAGAGTATGGACAGGCAGAAATGGGCTTGATGGTACCTTTGGAGGTGACTGAACAAATTACATGATGGTCTGTGACGTCGCTGATAAAAGTAAAATTTTCAGTCATTAACCACAGCTAACAATTTTTTCCCATTTTAAGGTGGTCTGTTAACCTGCTTTGAGCTAAATATATGTTTTAAAGTAATGATATTCTAGCTGAATAGACATGAATGGATATAATTCTTTTTATGCTTCTTCCATAAATTTTAATTTAATTTTTAATGCTTTTTTTTATATGTAGTTCGGCAAAATCCATCATTCTCCATGTTCTTCATGGTATAGTTCATTCAAACTTGCTTCTTTTTAGATTAAAATTAAACCCTATGCTATATCTCTGCATGTCTTGTTATATTCCTGAGACTGGAAAAAGTACCAAATGACACTTGTTTTTATGCTAACAAAAATTAACTACTTCTTAGTTATTTTCTTAACTTTTAACTTGCTAAAATGACATTTTAACTATCTAAAACTGATATTTCTTACTTGCTAGCAATAATCATAGTTTAAATTTATTTTTATTTTAAATTAGCAAAAATAATTTGGTTGTGTACTTGGTTTTGGAAGATAAATATTGCACTAAGATTGGCTTAATTGATTGAGGCAAAATATGTGGGAGATAGCCAATTGGATGTAACCCTTTTTGATATCAAAGGAAACATGTTTCTTAGACTCCTCCTACCCCTGTTAGGAGGTGTGTATTGTATGTGGGTATAGGATTAAGAGGATGGAATAGGTGAATAATATCTTTACTTTCCTGGTGCTTTTGTATGGTAGTGTGTTTTGGAGGTTTTCCTTCCTTATAAGTTCTGCTTTGCCTTAAAACCAGGTGGAAACAGGAAAAAGAGATTATCTGGATTTTGGTGACTTGACTTCTGGCAGTTGGAAGGCTCTTCCATTAAAACTTATCAACAAAACCCATGCTTTTGTGCCAATTAGACTTATTATTAATGCCGTAAGTACTGTAAACTTCCTGTATGTGAAAGTTAACTCCTTGTGATACTGAATTTTAATACCAAAACACTTTGTTATATGTCATTATTTCTTAATTAATTAATTCTTGGACACTAGATGGAAGATTCCCAAGAAATCTTTGGTCAGTCAGGAAATAATTTTTTTTTGCAGGGTGGTAATCTGATTCAGCTATACCAGTACCAACAAAAATGCTTCTGGGATAGGTGTGGGGTTTTGCTTAGTGGTTTGGTTTTTTTTGTTGTTTGGTTTTTTTTGTCTGTTTTTACAGCCTAGCCATGGATTCCTGCCTCTGTGTTGCTTGATTTGAGAGCACAGGGCAGCAGATAGCAAAAGGGTTGTGTTGCCTAAGCCTTCCCACTGAGAAGATGGAGACGTATTCCACTGTTCAAGTGGAACAGCTGACTGTTGAAACAAGCAGCCAAACGTGCTTTGTAGCAAGTTTAACATATTCTCTCTTCCTCTGCAGGAGCAAGAGCAGGACTCTTCACTCTATCTGCTTTGTCTCCCACTAGACAGTAATAGCCTGTATTATAGGCTACAATATGCTCCTCTGTATTTCTGCGGCAATGCGGATTTCAGATTTTTGGCTAGGCTGGTTGCTGTTTTGTGCTGTGGGAAGAGCTGATCTTGTTTCCTTATGTGGGGGGACAAGAAAAGACTGGCCTTATGTTGGATCAGGTCATCTTGGTAACTAGTAAGGTTTGGTCTTGAACTGCCAAACTTTTTGGAGGCTTAAACGAACCAGTTCCAGCTTGCCTCCTTTTACTGCAGAAGGGCTTCTGACTATTTTTAGAGGGTTTTGGAAGATAAAAAACTGGACTATCTGGACTATCACATACCACCTGAAGGCTAATCTTTGATTGTTTTTTCCAAACTACTTTGATCGTTCAGAACTTGACTTGTATTTCTCAGCTTTGTTAGCATTATTGTTAGTGACAATAAGAGATTTAATACTTTTAATACTTTATTTCTTTGACAGAATGCAGTAGCTTGGCGCTGCTTCACGTTTTCCAAGGAACCAGTTAATCCTTCTAATGAACAATCGCTTCAAATGGATGCAGTTTCTCAGATAGCAGCTCCATCAGTTGTAAATCATGTGATACATGCAAGCTATGATGGGCAAGTGAGTAGTTTGTAGTTGACTGATTCTTCCTGTTACTTGCTGTCTGAAATGATGGTTCTGAATATCTGGGTTGACAGTAATGATTTCTGGGGAGTCTACCTATTTGAGCAGTAGAGTTTTGTTGCTAGTTTTGGTTTTGTTTTTTTTTTTCTCTTCAGTAATTTTCTCCCTGCGCCCCCGCCCCCCCCTCCCAATAAGATAAGTCAACCAATTTCTTTTTCAGGATCCTGAAGCTTTAACAGTTTGGGTTCTGTTCCATGCACCTAAGAAACAAATTTCTTGTTCAGGTATAGCAATTTGATTTTCATTTCAACTAAAACAAATTTGACTTTTAATGTGCGCGTGTGTTAGAATTGCAGGAACAGGCTGCGAATTTGAAATTAAATGTTCTATCTTCGGTTTGTGTCCTAATATTTCGGGTATCGCATTCAGTTTCAGTAGCTGAAGGAGGTGGAATACTTCTATGTCTTAAACTTTCAGATGTTAACAGGGGTATTTATACTTCAGTATCAAGCTGTACAAAGCGGTTATCTACTGCAAGATGTGTCGAATTTGCTTTACTCCTTTTGCTGAGGGAATTAAATCATCACTTAAGAAAACATTGCGCTGGTTGCAAAATAGATAAATTTGAAGAAATCTCTGAGTTTTTCTGGTTTCCTAAATAGGAAATAGTACATGTGTAAACTAGTTTGGCCAGTATGTTAAGATGGTTTTTTTGTTTGCTTTAGGGACAATTTCAGCCACATTTGACAGAAAGGTAAAAATCTTAATTAAGATCCTGTGAGACTTTACTTAAAAGAAAAAAAGTGTTGCTAGGGTAATGGGGAGAGTTTCTGTTAACATCACCGCAATATTAATATGTTAAGATTGGACAGTAGCTGAAGTGAGATGCGCATCCATAGGAATGGCCTTTGCTGCTAGCACACTTGCTTGCTTTTGTTACTCATGGAATTGTTCCTAGATTCCTTGGGTCCAGCAGATGAATTCTTGGCAAGAGTTGATGTGGAAGTGGATAGTCCAGGACCTAGCAGTGTAATTAAAAGTATTCCTCTCCGAGCGAGAGCTGGAACAGCAAGGATACATGCTCCAAAGGACTTACAGGTTTGTATATATTTACAAAGTGTGTTTTAATAATAGTTTGTCTCTCCTAGCCTACTTCTTTTGTAATGTTTGGTTTTATTATATTAGCATATATAGACACATACATACACACTTCTTTATGTTTTCCAGACAATATATCTGTCTACTAGTGTGGGTTCAACAGCCAAACAGCAGCTGCCTTTGAAAAATGCTGGAAACATTGGTGTATATTTGAAAGTTAAGGTAGGTTGGCTTCCTCCTCTTGAAATCATGAGTTTTGTGCTGTTAATGTTCTATTGAAACTAGAGCTGAGTCTTGGGATCCTAGCTTAACTGTTTGGTTTGAAAGAAGGTTTACAAGTTTACATAAAGGAATCTGGAGCACAGGTTATTTTTTTCTCTATCCTTGCAGTTGCAGGCAGTGACATTGCAAGAAACAGATAGACCCAGTCTTTTAATACATGGTTCCGTGGCTGGTGTCACGGCCACGATTTTGGGTTTTTAGATAATGGGATGGCCTACACGGTACCAGGCCTGCTGGTGTCAGATGGGACTCACCTTTCTCAAGGGGGGAAGATGATCTTTGCTCATGAGCTAGCAGGGCTCATTGACAGAGCTTTAAACTAGACTTGATGGGGGAGGGGGATAATATCAGGCTTGCCCCTGACAAGCTGTGGGATGACACGCCAAGGTTAGAGGGACGAGTTGCTAGCGAGGGCCCTCAGCCTGTTCCTCTGAGACGTGCTGGCTACACTGGAGCACAGTTGGAAGTCTCACAAAGATGAGCCAGGGGCTCCTGAGGTAATAGGAGCCAACAGGGAAACACCAGTGGAATACTTCAAAGGAATTAAGGGGTGTTCCTCTAAGAAGGTGACACGGCCGACAGCCCAGCTGAAGTGCCTCTACACCAATGCACGCAGCATGGGAGTTGGAAGCCACTGTGCTGCTAGAAAGCTATGACCTAATTGCCATTACTGAAACTTGGTGGGGCGAGTCCCATGACTGGAATGCGGCTCTCGATGGCTACAAGCTGTTCAGAAGGGACAGGCAAGGAAGGAGGGGCGGAGGCGTTGCCCTCTACATCGAGAAATGGATAGAGTGTGAAGAGCTATCTCTGAAGAATAGCCATGAGCAGGTTGAAAGCTTATGGGTAAGAATTAGAGACCGAGGCAACAAAGGGAACCTTGAGGTTGGTGTTTACTACAGGCTGCCCAATCAAGGGGAGCCTATTGACAAAGCCTTCTTATACCAGCTACAGGAGGCATCGCACTCACAGGCTCTTGTCCCGCTGGGGGACTTCAACCACCCCGACATCTGCTGGAAAAGTAGCACAGCGAGCTGTAGGCAATCCAGGAGACTCCTGGAATGCATTGAGGATAACTTCTTAAGCCAGATAATAGACAGCCCTACCAGAGGGGATGTGATACTGGAGCTGTTGGTCACCAGTGCAAGGGAGCTAATTGGTGACGTCAAGATTGGAGGCAGCCTGGGCTGCAGTGATCATGCTCTGGTGGAGTTCACAGTCCTGAGGGATATGGGTTAGGCGACGAGTAAAGTCAGGACTCTGAATTTTAGGA